TGTAATGGGGGGGCGGGGGGGATGTCTTGAGGTTTCGGGTGGGCTTGGAGGTGCCTTGAGGTTGTTGGGGTGCCAGCAGGGTCGCAAGGGGGCATGGGGCGCCAAGCAGTCTGGGGGAGGTTCTTGCAGGGTGCTGAGGGAGCTGGGGCTGCTTTGTAGTTCCTGGGGGTGCTGGGGAGGGCTGGGGGGCAGCAGGGATGCTGTGGGGATCCTGGAGGAGGGGAGCAGGGCTGTCATGAAGTTGCTAGGGGGTCCCAGGGTGGCTCGAGAGGCTTTGTTATTTTCTGGGCGCCTGGAGGTGCCTTGAGGTTCTTGGGATGCCATGAGGGGAGCTGGGGGTGTGCCTTGAGGTTTCTGAGAGTGCTGGGAGGTTCCTGGGATTGCCAGAAGCTCCCCGGGGGTGCTGTGGGACACTGAGGGGCTGGGGATAACTTGAGATTCTTGGGGTGTTGAAGATTCCCACAGGGTGCTGAGGGGTACCAGAGGGGTGCCTTGAAGTTTCTGGGGGAGGGGCTTTGGGGCCCAGGGGTGAAGTAAGGTCCCTGGGGGTTTTGCAGGGCAGTAGGGAGCCTGAGGTGCTGCAGGAGTTTGAGGGGGTGCTGCGAGGCAGGTGGTGGTGATATCTGTGTGCGTTTTATCACCCGACTGCACGGTGCTTTGGGGGTGTCGCAGTGTACCCCGACGGGGCTGCAGTGGAAGGGACTGTACGAGGTCGCTTGGGGAAGGCTGAAGAGCTGGCATGCCGAGGGAGTGGTTGCTGAGTGGGCCAGGCGGTGCGTGGGCGTGCAGAAAGGGGTGCCAGGGTTTCCTGGGCACCGCGGTGGGCAGAGAGGTGTGTGAGTGCTGAAAGTGTCGCCAGGCGCTGTGGAGAGGCTGCTGCTCCCTGTGAGGGATGTGCAGGCAGACAGTGGGAGCAGGGGACATAGGTAGGATTCCCCTGGTGCTGGTGGCCTGGTGCAGGCTGCTTGGTTAAAGCACTGTCAGGTGCCGCTTCATTGCTTTTTTTGCAGCTGAACAATGATTTCTTCTCTCTGTTTCTCAGGGCACTTCACCTCTGCAGAGGATCTAAATCTGCTGATTGCCAAGAACACTCGGCTTGAGATCTATGTGGTCACAGCAGAGGGGCTGCGGCCTGTCAAGGAGGTGGGCATGTATGGCAAGACTGCTGTCATGGAGCTGTTCCGCCCAAAGGTGAGAGCGGTACAAGGGGATGGGGCTGCCCATGAGCTGAGGAGAGCGGATGTAGGATGCCCTGAGGGTCAAGGGTGAGTTTTCTCTCTGTGAAAACTTCCTGAAAGCATATCACTGTTCTGCTTTTCTAGGGTGAGAGCAAGGATTTATTGTTCATCCTGACAGCCAAGTATAATGCATGTATCCTTGAGTACAAACAGAATGGGGACAGCATTGATATTATCACCCGTGCCCATGGAAACGTGCAGGTGAGTGAAGTAGCAGCACCTGGTCAAGTCCTGGAAGGTGTGAATTCCCTTCCTTGGGGCTGGTTTTACTTTGCCGTTGTTTGTTCCCCTGCTGCTATTACTATTTCTAAAGGTTTTTGCCTCCAGTGAGTCAGTCTTGAGCTCAGGGACTCACTGAGGACACAGCTATGAGTGTGTTCTTGGAGAAGTTTGTGGAGTAATGTGGTTGCTTTGATGTGGTCCTTTTGTAAAGAGAATTAGTCCTCAAAATTCAATACAGGGTAGAATTTTCCCTGGAAAATGACTCTTGTCATACCTCGGGACAGATCTCTACATGCTGCACACCAAAAGCATTAGTGCTGACGTTACTTTTACCATCATAACTGTACAACATAACGATTGTAGATATGCTCTATTCTATTTTATGCAGCTTAAAATCTTGTCTTTTCAGCAGGTCAGAAATTCGCATGCCTCTTTGGCTTTTTGTTAGTCATTAGCCAAATGTTTTCCATCAGCTGTCAAGCCAAAATATCTTCCATCTGTTTTCAGATGTTGAGCTTCCATTGATTTATTGTTTGTGGAATTGAGGCACAGGGTTAGGGGCCAGGAAGAGTAGGTGGGCATATCCTGTCAGTAATGTGTCAGTGTGTTTTGGGGAAAAATGCTTCATCTTCCTGTGCCTTGGCCTTGCCTTGTGACGTATGGAGATGCTGATATCAGCCCCCGTCATGTAAAGCTGAGGGATCTGCGGAGGCTGATAACAGCGCTTGACTTCTGAAGAGTGTTTTTCAGTCATAGATATCAAAACACTTTATAGCAAGGGAAAGCGTCGCTTTCCCTCAGTGATAGAAAAGCTGAGGTGCAGGACAGCAATGTGACTTACGTGAGGTCATTCAGTAGAGAGCTGAGATTAGAAAGCCAATTGCAGGGTCTTGTCCTGGCGTGCCTAGTTCCAGGAGTCCTAGAAGAGAGAAAGCCAGGTGTCCGTGCTGCAGGAGTGGCTGTGATTATGATTAGCTGTCTGCTTTCAAGCTTTACCAGGTTCTCTGGTGGAAAGGACCTGCTCTTTTAGACTAGGGAGATGCTGTAATCTCCTTTGGCTTGCCAGACAATATTTTAAATTTTGTTAGATGACGTGCAGGGAGTACTTCCTCAACTATGGGACAGTAACTTTTGTACCTAGTGTTCTTCTTGGGTCCTACGTGTGGATCTTTTTCTAATGTTGATCGCTCTCTCTCCCATCTCCATGGCTGTGCTCAGGATCGTATTGGGCGTCCCTCGGAGACAGGTATAATTGGCATCATTGACCCAGAGTGCCGGATGATTGGCCTGCGGCTCTATGATGGCCTCTTCAAGGTCATTCCTCTGGACCGGGAGAACAAGGAGTTAAAGGCTTTTAACATCCGCCTGGAAGAGCTCCAAGTCATCGATGTGAAATTTCTCTATGGCTGTCAGGCTCCGACCATCTGCTTCGTCTACCAGGTACCCTGTTCTTGATTGGTAACTCAGGCAGAGAATGTTGGAAATTGCTGGACTGATGTGCCGTGAGTCAAGGTCTCTAAAGGTCTTCTAGGAGGATTGAACAGTTAGTGTTGTGGTCCAGTTGGCAGAGCAAAAGACGGAGAATCCTGACTCCTGCAGATTCATCTTGTATCTGAGGAAAACCCAAGTTCCTCTCTGATGTTTTTTTTTTTTTCCGTTCCTGGGAGATAGGAAGAAACGCTCTCCAGCAGGAGAGCTGTGTAGCTGATGCTTCTGATGGGACTGTTTCTTATTATTGATTCTTCTGTATCTGTTTTCGAAGTCTGTTAGGGACGTTTTTGAGAGAGGTGGGAGCTGTTGAAACCACTGTTACTATCGAATTCACATGCACAGTATAACTAGGAGTTGGAAGGGCAGTCCAGCTCCCCTGCATCAAGGCAGTGCTCTTCCCTTGCCCCAGTAGTTAGCTGGCGCTCTCACTTATCATTTGAACAAATCAGGAAGTTACAGCATGCTCTTTTCAGCCTTGCTGGTAAACTTTCCTAGCTGTCAAGTCCTGCCCACTTCATAGAGACCTGTGCAGATTTAACGC